CAAGATCCCATTAGACAAATCTGTTTAAGTGGCTATAGACTTTGTAGCTTACCTAACATGCCAACCGTGCCTATGTAAACAGACGCTGCCACGCAGAGTTACACGGGGCCCGAACGAAAAAATTAAGTCCACACAGAATCAATCAGTGCCCACGCCTAGAAAAGAAAAGGCCACTCTGGAATAGTTTCGTATCAGATATTGTGGCATCTGGGCCGAAATCGAGACAGATGCTGTAACCCTTAAACGCTCCCAGCATTTGCGTTTGAACTTTGACGGATGTTCACCGCGCAGAGCGGTAGTTTCTTTCTGTCTGTAATGTTTTGTTTTTCTTTTCTGAACAACTTTTGTTATGTGCTGTTTCCTTTGACTTCATGGAGGTAATGACAGTCCATTTATGAGCCATGTTCCTCGACCATGCGGTTTCACTGAAATAGGTGCAACCTTGGTATATTACCTTTAACTCTAGATTATTGAATGTGTTTTCTTTCTCTTTTTTTTGTTTTGTTATCCTTAAACAACCACAACCATCAGGTGCTCAGCAGAGGAGTGTTAGCATTATCAATTTGCATATTTCCATCTGACCTGTCACAATGACAACTTGCTCATTTGAATGCAGGTCGGGCCACTTTCTAAGCTCCGCCCACTTTGACTGTTCACCAATAGGTAATAGCTCTTTTGGTCAGCACAATGACATGTTTCATTTGTATTCCTGTATTTCATCTGTGTTATTAACTGAGGTGGAAACAGAAGGTGTGTTTCACTACAGCGTCGTTCAGTGTGAGTTTCTGTGTGCGAGTCTCAGTGCCTTCCTACATGCAAATACATTTGAATGGTGACGTGAATGTTACACAATAGCCAAGGGGAATGAAACGACCTTTTTATATTGACGAAGGACCTCAGTTGCGTTCAAATACAGCATTAGATTAGATATGAAATCCGTTACACTACATTGTATGTCAAGCAGCTATCAGAAATCGCTTTCTGCGCCGAGGCTAAGATAGGGAGAGACCGTAGTCCAGCTAGCGCTAGCTCATTTACTGTTATTTCTCTTACGAATAAGCTGACGATTGATTTGACAGAGACTGCTAATGTGTGTAATTGCTGACGAGAGTATTTTCAATCAAGCTATACATCACACAGGGATACTCACCGGTCGGCTCTTGAAGAGTGAGTGAAGCCATTTCCCTGCCACAATGGGTCCGTCCGGATCTTATTTCAGGGCCCGAATGATCATAGTTTCACTGCTGGGAGGGGGCTGAAAAAATATTCGCCAACACCGTACCCTGTAGGGCTGCATCTCTCTAGATCACGCAAGTACCCATCATAACCGGGCCCGGACGGAATCAATGCATCCGCATTTTCCGTAGTTTAGGTGTGGAGCTTTGAGAAGGAGGAATTTGCGAATGCCAGGCATTCCGATTTGGCGGAATTCCACGCACAAAGATTTCGTGTGGACCCGGCTGTGATTTGAAATAACCACGGGTCTGCAGAATGTAACCGTTGCATGTCAAAAAAGAATCGCAAATGACAATTGGCTCTCGAATGGAAGGTGGCATGAAAAAGAAAGTTCTGGGTGTGTGGGCTAACCAGACTTTTGCAGGTGTCTCGAGTACGTCGTGGAGGCCTAGTCGCCTCTGTTATTGCACAATTAGCCTCGTTGGTGTAGGTCACCACAGGGCGAAATCAGTAATCAGCGTTATCCAGGTCCTGATCCATGCCGAAAGCCCCCTCCCCCATTTAAAAAAGCAGCTTGCACTTAATTCCTTACCTTGCCACACATTTAGTGCCGTCTCAAAGTGAATCTCAGTTCAGGTATAGGAGCAGGAGCAGGCCTCGGACAGATACCCTGCCTGAGTACCTTTGACAGGGGCTTCACAGCCCAAGCCTGAGACCCACGTCATCATTCAGTGGGTTTACCAGTAACACAAATCAACCAATCACAGTCTATTCTCCATCTACTCTTAATAGACTTTGTGTCTCAGTGATATCCGGGAAGAAGGAGAGCGGGTGAGAGCCTCAAGCGGTGATCTTGTGCTGGGCCTCCATTCACAACACACAATACATACTGCAAAAATTGATTTCTGAATCAGTATTTGTGTCTCGTTTTCCAGTAAAGTCATCCGAACGACTTTAAGACTAGTTGAATTTACTTAAAAAGCAAAGTTGTGTTTCAGAACATATCTTGAACAACATTTAAGGACATGTTTGCCCATAGGGTTAACAAAAACCAACTTGGCCCAAAACTAAAATTCATGTATTCATCTTTATGTTTCAAACCGGTTTGACTTACTTTCTTCTTTGGAACACCAAATGAGAAGGTTAGCAAAATGTCCAAGCTGCTCGCTTCTATAGGGTCGGTCAAGCTCCAAAAGATGCACAATAAAAGTCTGAAATTCTGAAATGCATTCAAAGCTGTATGAGAACTTTGTGTGACAAATGTAATTCAACTTAAGTTGTTCATTCAAACCTTGCCTTGAAAATCTTGCTTGACAGTCGTGGTCACCATTCACTTTCATTGTATGGAAAAGTGCAGCTTGGATATCCTGCTCTAAATTTGTGTTCCATGGAAGAAAGAACATCAGTGAGTAAACAATGCTAGAATTTTCCTATAATTCAAATTCTTTGAAAACGAGTGTTGTCAAGTGATTTTGTTTTAAGAATGTCTAGATATTTGTACTGAAAAACCAGACAAAAATACTAATTTTTGCAGTGCTTCACACTTCACAGTAGAATGTTTAGATGGACAGTCTCGGAATCTGATAAGCAGGCATGCAACAAGTCAAAAAAGTGTTTATCCGAAAACCATGGATGTTAAAAGACGATGCACTATGGCTGAAAACCGTTTTACCTTGTTTCCCCAGGTCATAGAATCCATCTGGGTGTCATTGTGAGAATGGGAAAGAAATGTCATTAATGTGATTTTGACCCGTTCTGATTTGTAATTAGAGGTTACAGACTATCAATTGCCAGGACGCAGCATGTTGCTTTTGTGCTTACCTGCTTTCATCAGATTCCGAATCTCATACTTGGGTAGACAGCAGCGTTCATAACTAGCTCACACTACAGTAGAAACAACAGGTTTTCTTTCTTTCTCTGAATGCATAACAGTTTTTTTTTCTTTATTGCTTTTCTTTTTTTGTGGATGAGAAAAGACTTGATGATTGACCACCTAAATGTGGCTTAAACTGGCATGTGAAAAAGACCCATTAGTGGCTGGAGGACTCTAAAAATGTTCAGCATTTGGAACTCTTATTAAAAACCAATAAAATGGAAAAAAAAAAAAACTCAAATTATTAAGAAAGTGAATATCACTGTGTAATATTTATTCAACTTGTAATTTATGTACTCTTTTAACCTTTGTCTTTTTTTTGTTTGTTATGACAAAGCATTTATTTAAATAAAGTTATGTATTCATTTAAGCTTGTGCAATAAATTTATTTGTACATCACAGGAATTTGATCTTGTTTATGAGAACAATTTAAATAAAGATTTATCACTAGCCAAGGCAGTAACCACGGGACAGTTTCCCAGATGTCACACCATTATCACACACTGCATGCAAATATAAAGACAACAGATACTGTGGGATTTCAATGACCCAATAGACACACTATCTTGAAATGATCACTTACCAAGTATATACACTGCATATTAATCCATCAGGTTGGCATATGTTAAAGGAATGTTCCGGGTGCTATCGACAGCAACAACTTCAACAATAACGACCTGATTTTGTAATAAAAAGCAACAGTAAAGCACTTACGATGGACATACACACTTGAAAACCACATTAATTAAAATGTGTTAGCATGAGACTAGTGATAGAATCACTTGATCTTATTTGTAAAGCTATAATCAATCTTGACTTTTGCATGGTACACTTTCCACATTTTATAATAATATTAAAGTCATTAAAACTATAAAATAGCATAAATGGAAGTATAGGAATTATGTATCAACCAAAATTAATAACAATATTAAAAGGGTTCACAAACATGCTATTCATACGATTTAATGTATAATCAGATCATCATTCACCTACGAATGTAATATCTTAAAAAGGACAATTTTGACAGATCATACAATAAACATGCTTTTACTGCATAATGCATGCACATGCTTTGACAAAAACACAATCTTAAAATATTTGTTGCTTTTAAACCCTTGCTGGCCCAGTTTACTTCCATGTTAAGTGCTTTACTGTAATCATTAAGAAAAGGTATGTATATGTGTATGTATGTGTTTATGTAATCATAAACATGATACACACACACACACTATAGTCATATGGTCAATCAACTGGGAATATATGACATGCACACATTGTTTGTCTGCTAATTCAATTGTCTTCACTGATGAATCAGGATCTGGGTGATTAAC